GAGGGAAATCAGTGGACCTAGAACATACATTAACTGTCAACCAAGAGGGAAGGTAGTGGACCTAGAACATACATTAACTGTCAACCGAGAGGGAAGGCAATGGACCTAGAACATACATTAACTGTCAACCAAGAGGGAAGTGTACCTCCTCCTCAGCCTCAGCAGAAAGAAAATGGGGACACTCGAAGATACCAAACAAGACTCAGTTTTCTCTAATTTTCATTTCCAAACACATCAAAAAGCTGGCTTGAGTATATACTTTGTTATCTAAATCCCTTTCTGGCAACATATGAAGTGATAGGATAAAAGATAATTAGTAAAATACAGGGTACATGATAGGATAAAATTAGTACAATACACACGATATACATTGGAAAATGATACCATTTCTCAGGCATGAATTATGAAGAATGCTTCAGAAAATACTGAAACTTCCATGTTATTAGAAAGATTTAAGAATGATAGTAAATCACATATTTGTAAACGTCAGTAGCAATGGGAAAACTGAAAAATATGGGCAGGCACATTCTTTGGGTTGTACCTCTTTTCAATAGAAAGTACTTTTTTGTGATTTCCCCAATTATAACTAACAGCAGAATTTTCAAAAGGAAATGGTTGATCACTTAAAGCTGTGACAAATTTACTAGCAAATACACTTTTAAAGTAAATGTTTTTATTTTTTACATTTTTACCTATGTATTCATTTGCTGTGTGTTTGCATATGCATGAGCCCATGCACATGTTCTAGCACGCACGTGGAGGTCAGAGGAAAACTGTGGGGAGTGGGTTTGCTGCTTCTACCATGTGGGTCTCTGGGATCAAACTCAGGTCATTACGTTTTCAACAAATTCATCTTACTGGCCCCTAAATATGTGTTTTCAACACCATCTGGAAGAAATCAGTTCTGCAGCTTTCCTATTTTTATCTACCTTTAGAACGTCCTAACTCTTTTCAAAAGGTTCATCAACAAATTACACTTACAGAACTTTAATTTCAACAATGTCATACAAGGGATGTTTTAGAAACATACTCAAAATAAAATGTGTACAATAATTTCAGTTGCACTTATTAAGCTAGACATCGGATGATAAACAGTAGCTGCTGGGCGAGGGAGAGCCAGTGTTACTGAAGAGTGCCAACCACACTCCACACTCCTGTGTAAAGGCACACATCTCAGAACGCTTGGAGAGCATAAACTGGCCTTTATGGAGGCAGGGAAAAGGACAAAAAGTTGACTTGGGAGGGAAGCAGGGTGGATCCAGGAAGAGCTGGAGGAGGGATGGTGAATATGGTCAAATGATCAAAAGATGTAGGAAGTTCTCAAAGAACACACACATACACACACACACACACACACACACACACACACACACACACACAATAGAACACAAAATAATTCCAATTAGCAATATCCAGGAGGAAATTTTTTAAATACAATTCCCTGTGGGTTTAGGACCATTGTACAAGCACAAACCATGTCATCCAGCTACACTTTACTCACAACAGTAAAGATGAGTCATTTCTAGAAACAGAACACTTATTTCACACACAAAAGGCACGGGGATTGGGGCTCTATTCTGTATGATCATCTCTTGAACTAGAGATAGTGAGCACATTTGGTGGGGGTGATTTTCCTTCTTTCTCATACAGCCACACAGACTAGCACAGGGTCTTCACATGAGGAAATAGAGGTGTCTTCAGACACTTACAGACCTTGGAGCATTGACTAAGCACCCAACCCTCCTGGGAGATTACCTTCAGCAATCTAATGGCGGTCACCCAGCACATCCTGCTCTGCTCTTCTTCCGCACAGAGCATTTTCAGGTCCCGGGGTCCTCCTGCTTTGTTAGGCTAGAAGGCCACAGCACATTGTTTATTGTTAATGCATATCTTGAAGGTAACACCTGTTGAAATAAAAACCACTAAAATTCTCCTATGCATAAGGGAACTCTATCTCTTTTCGAAAGAAATTGACAGAAACTCAAGCTTACCTAAAAGACTGAGGCTTGCCTTACTCATCTATCAAAACATTTAGCCTGTACCTTAAAGCAGAATCCATAGGCAGTTGGTGCTCCATGTTTTTTTTTGCCTGGCAGTGACATGTAAACATTACTAGTGCTGAATTCGCTGAAAAACTGCAAGTGCCGTGGTTCCTTAAAAAAAAAACAAACATACATGTGAATGTTGAAATGGATGCATGCTTTCACAGTATCTTTTGCATTTCTCATATTACACAATTTGTAGCTTGGACCAAAAAAATTACCTCAAACAATATACCAGCGCAATGTCACAAAAACAAAAGGAAGAGGTTGCCACTTCCTTAGATAACCGGTAGCTACATACAGTTTCATTTAAATTGGCAAGTGGAAATTTGTTTACAATCTTACTTCCATTAACAGATAAATTCCTATTTTAAGTTTCCTCTTCTCATTAACCATCATGTCAAACGAAAAGAGAAAGCCTCAAAGGCTTTTAAAAGCGTTCCCCTCATCTCAGTTTCGCGTGGTAGGTTCTACCAAAGGAGGAAATTTGGCTTCTTGAGAAGAAAATGGGGAAAGAAAAAGAAAATCTTGGGTTCTTTCAGACACAACCATCCCTCTCACATCTGTTTGCTGCCTGACAGGAGTCTGTGTGGCCATCTTGTTCCACAAAAGGAGAGGAGCCTGCACACACGAGTTCAGGGAAATTACCTGGGACGGAATGTGTCTGATTGTCAGGGCAAAGGGAAATCGTGAGCGGCTATTTCTTTTCGGGAAAATCCGAGAGATTTGGAGCTGGCCATGGGAAATCACTAGGTCACATCATTCTGTGGTAGGTTAATAACTTGGAGAAGTGCTTAATTCTGAGGTTGACTATATAATCAAAACTGGCCAAAATGCATTTGTTCTCCAAAACCTTGCTACTAGCAGTGTGGTCACTGAACCAGAGAATCTGTCTCACCTGGGAGCTTGTTAGAAATGCAAAATTTCAGGGCCCATTCGGGGCCCACTGAATCAATATTTGCATTTTAACAAGATCCCAGGTGGTCTTGCATGCACAGTGTTTAGCAGCAGTACACACACACACACACACACACACACACACACACACACTCACACAATACATTCAGCAGTATGAACCACCTTGTCCAAATTGGAATACATTTCATTTTCATTTACCAGTAAGCTATTCCAACTCAAAAGATGTCATTGCATGTCACTATTCCTAAGCATCTTAGTCTAAAAAATGTACTTCTTTGGAGAATAAAAGCAGAAATTCTTAAATTTATTTATTTATTTTGAGTTTTTGAGACAGGGTCTCTCTATATAGTCCCAACTATCCTGAAACTCACTATTTAGACCAGGCCAGCCTTAAGCTCACCAAGATCCTCCTGATTCTGGCTCAAAGTTCTGGGATTAAAGGCGTGTATCACCATGCCTAGCCTGAATATATATATATATATATATGTGTGTGTGTGTGTGTGTGTGTGTGTGTGTGTGTGTGTATACATGTATATATACATGTAAATATATATACATATATATACATGTATATATATATATAACTTTTGTTTTGGGATAATCTTTTTGTACACTGTGAAGATGTGTCACTCAGATCGGTTTAATAATAAGCTGAATGGCCAATAGCTAGGCAGGATTTCCAGGCACAGAGGTCACTAGAAACAAGAATGTAGGAGATGCCAGGGATGCGGAGAAAGCAGCATGGGCTTTACAAAGTAAAGGTAACCAAGCCAAATAAAAGAACGTAGATTAAAAGATACAGGTAAATTTGAGTTATAAGAACTTGTTAGAAACAAACCTAAGATATCGGCTGACCTGTCATAATTAATAAGTCTCTGTATGGTTACTTGGAAAATAGCAGGTGGGACAGAAAAGACTCGCTACAAATCTTCTTTTAAAAAAAATAAAAAATTAAAATAAAAAAGTTTTCTTAGAATTGTATTATATTAGAATATATATTCACTGACAGTACCTAATTTGATAATAAAAATGCATACTAAAAGGCTATTAGATTGAGTTATCAAAATCTATTGGTAAATGTACATATGCTATGTAAGGAAGGAGAAGGACAGATGGTACTTAAGGCTTTCACTAACATGCAATTCACAGCCATATCTCCAAGCCTTAGGGTAGTGGTTAGTAACTCCCATGCAACTTCACTTCCTTGGAAGTGAAAGTATTCAACCAAGACCATTTCATAGGAAAAATAAGAAACAAAACCGAGAAATATTCTCCTTACTAGGTAGACATGCCATGTAGTACATTGGATAGCATACATATTAAAGTCTAAAAAACTGAAGTTCTCTTATGTCCCCAAATTTTTTAAGTGGGTGAATTTAGAATTATCTCCATGTATAAATTACCTTATTATTTTGTGTGTTTTATATTTATGTTTGTGTGTGTGTGTGTATGTGTGTGTGTATACCATGGTGTGCTTGTGGAGGTTTCAAAGGAAAACTTGTGGGAGTCAGTTCTCTCCTTCCAACATGTGGGTTCTAACAATCCTGAACTCAGGTTGCTAGACTTAGCAGAGAACACCTTTACTCACTGAGCCATTTCTCCTGCCTCATATGCGGATTAGAAGAATATTATGGTATCAATTGGCAACCTATGTTTAAAATATTACTACTTCAGGTCTTATGACAGATTTTTTTACCTGTCTCTGGAGACTGGTTGAACAAACCAGATTAAAAAAAAAAAAAAAAAAAAAGGTGTAGGGGCTGGAGCGATGCCTCAGCAGTTAAGAGTACTTACTGCTCTTGTAGAAGACCTGGGTTCAGTTCCCAGCTCCTAGGTGGACAAACAACTGTCTATAACTCCATTTCCAGAAAACCTGACATTTCTTCTGATCACAACAGGGTCTTGCATGCATGTGTGGTACATAGACATACACTGAGGCACACAGCACAATGCACACATAAAATGAAATAAATATATTTTTGAAAAGAAAAACTGTAAATCCTATTAGGCTTCAAAATCTGAAACCTCTGATGAGGATGAAGAACCAGAAAATTGGTTTGTAGTGGGAGGAAATGATGCCTTTGATATAGGAATAACAGCATCCAGGTTCCATGAATGCTATAGAGTAGATAAAATCAGTGTAAAGTAAGTTCAAAGACTTTTGAAAAGTATTATAGCAGATGACTAGGATTCAGACAAATTTCCAACTCTTGACATCAGCTAAGAACGAAATCGCCATAACAAAATAAAACTTGATATCTTAGAGCTAACAGATAGCTCATAACATACCCCAGATACCTTGGCTTACCTTTGATGTGCCTTTAGTAGAAAAATATAAACCAGATCTTCTCAGGAAAAAGTAAACTTTTTTCCAAGACTTCTTTCCCTGTTCTTTTGCATGTAAGAAACCATGGATTTCAGGATAGGTGCTTGAGCTTAAAAACATCTGGAAGACACAGAAGATGCTTTCATAATATTATGGAAACAATGATGCCAATAGTCTTTTACCTGTCAGACATGGACACGCAAAATCAGACAGTATCAGTGGTGTCTGCGCTGTGCGGAGATCACAATGCATGCTTGATAGAACTCTATTAAAAACCTGGCACAAGTTCCAAACTAAGGTTCTGCAGAAAATATACACTCAAAGTAATCAGCAAATGGATAAAAACCAAAATCACAAGTTATCTGAATTTCTACTTAACAGTGGGCCTTATCTAGAGAATTATGCCCTGATGTGCTTCATCTTTCCTATAGATTCACAAACAGTAGTTTGCCTATAAAGGATATTATGCAATACTGTAGGGCTCCTATCTGGACTTCACTCATTACATAGACAGTTGAGTCACGTTCACCTGCCTAGTGAGGATAAGGCAAGCAATCTCTCTTTGTCTCCTGTGATTTTAGTTTTAGGTGGGCATAGCAGGGTGAAGTTTTAAAGAGAATTTTAACAGCATCTTCTATCCCATTGAGCCATGAAGAGGTGGCATCTGTTTCTCACCCCCTAAATTTTCATAAGTCGGTTACCCTTAGAATTTGTTTGGAGTCACACTACCAGTTCTAGGTAGAGCCTTAGCTTCATAGCTTCCAGGAATTGGTTCATGGAAACCAGCTGTCAGATTTTTTTTTTTTTTAAAAAAAAAGGTGATTACCTGAGACCACCATGGGCAAGAAACCTAATGACAGTGGGAAAGCCCTGCTGGGGAGGATAAGACACCATGTGGAGAGACAGAGTGAAAATCAGCTTTGAAGGGGATGCTCGGCCTCCAGCCCCTGAGACAAACAGCCACAGAACTGAGCCAGCCAGCATGCTCTTACCCAACTCATGCCCTACAAACATCACTGGTAAAATGTCAACAGATACTTGAAGCCATTCATATTTGGAAGTTTGTTACAAAGCAGTCATTAGTTGGGCATGCTTGGGCAAAGAAAAAGGGCAGTCGTAAGTGGCTATGCTGTGTCCTTATTAAGATCGTGAAAATGCATTAGTGATTCCTGAATGAAAACACAAGTCCCTAGGAGCACACAGATGCAAAAATGGGAAAAATCTAAAGTAGTAGAAATCATTAACTAAAATGGGGCAATACATCCTAAAGGCCTGTAATACAGTCAGGGAAATGCTGATAGGAAATATTTACATTTTTAAGTAAATCACTAAAAAATTTTGATGCAACGAGCCATTAATTAATTGATATGCAAAACAGGCAAGTGGGTTTTTTTTTTTTTTTAGTTTGAGTGCTTTCCAAGTTATTAAACCAAACCAATTAAATTTTTAAAGAAGAGTCATAAGGGTCACGCTAGAAAAAGAAGAAACCTTTTAAAAAGTAGAAACATTGCCTCAGTGGAGAGGAGAGGTCAGGGCGTACACCGGACTATCTGATTCTAAAGCCTGTGATTTTCCTTTTTATTATAATTTAACATTAAAGCAAGAGAATCATGGGAGAGGACAATTAGGAAATGAGGTGGAAGAAAGGCTCCCTCCCACCACCACATCACACAAATCAGTGAAGAAGCCACCAGCAAGGCTTTGGGGTTCTACTCTACTACCCCAAGGGCTGCCTCTAGAGACCCCGCAGCATGGAAGCTGCTTGTAGAAAACAGATTCTCTTGAAACTAACAATATTTATCAAATATTCTTAAGGGCTAAAATAAAACACACCCTATTTAAAAATCCACAGGAAACAAATCTGTGCTAAACACCCCTTGCCTCATATATCAAAAAGCATGCTATAAATACTGACTAGGGACCATTACTATTCATTGAATTTGTGAACACCAGGTTTAGCTTAAATAGCACTAATGAACCTGTGAAAAACAACCGTGGATGCCAGATTGCTGAATCTATGGAAAATAAAGTTAGCCAAACAGTTGGCTGACTGTAAAGACAATGCCTGGTAAATGACTCTCCCAGGCCACAGCCGGGGGGGACAGGAGTGAGCCCAGCAGTCTTAAGGCTAACTTCATGGAGATGCTAAGGATGTTTTAGGACTGCATGTATGTGTTTCCCTCACACCACTGCAAGTGCTGGCATATGGGAAGGATGCACTGCATACCCTGTCTATTCATTTAACTGCTGTGTATTTTCTCTCAAGTAGCATTGACACTATTTATTACAAAAGCTATACTAAGTACCTACTAGTGAAATGTCTGCAGTTTCCTGGGAAGTGCATTTTTTTTTCAAAAGATGCACATTTTTTTTAACACAAATCACCTGCAGGTTTTCTTTCACAGAGAACATTTTTTAATTCTGAAAATTCTTTACAACCAGGAGAGAAAATGTTATTGATTATTTAGTAAATTATTTATTCAAGTTTTTTTTCCTTTTTATCTTCAGGAAAAAAATTAATCATGCAGGCCACAATATTTCAAAATCCACCAAAAATTCAGGAAATTAAACAAAAGTTTCCACTTTGGTGTTCTTACATAGTTTAAGGAAAACATTTTACCTGCAGGATCTGTGTAGGGGATCTGTCACCGTTGGTCTCAGGTGCAAAGGACACCATGTGCTCTGGAAAGAAATACTGACCAAAGATACAAGTTAAATCAGTCCCAAACCAGGGTGACCATTAGAGGAACCTAAGCAAAATGTCTTAAAAATCAACATGTCTAAAATTCCTGCAAAATGATTTGAAAAATGTCACTCCTAAACCTAAACTAAATGGCCTCTTAATGAAGCCAGGTGGCACTGGGTCCTGAGATCAGCAGACACGCCAAATCATACTCAGGGAGAAAGCCTAGCCCTTGAGTTCATAGTGAGCTTGCTCTGATTTCTTCCTTCAGTCCTACAACCACCCCACCAAGTACTAGAAGAGCCCTGACCCATTTCACAAAGTGAAGACTCATCGAAGTAAGGGTCAACGGCTGTGTCAAAAGTCATAGGCCAGAACACAAAACAGCCAGGACTCAGCTGAGAAGCTAAAAGGCCACTCATTTCTACCTACTATTTCTCCAAACTTGTTTAATCATAAAGTTCACCCCAAGAAATTGTTTAAAATAGAAATTCCCAAGCTTCATTCTTGACTTTTCTGATTCAGTAGGTTTGGACAGGTCTTGAAGTCTGTGTTTTTAATAAGTCCTGGGGCTCCCCAAGGTACATTTCATGATAAGAAAAGTTGGGAAACATATATTCTACTCTACTTCCTCCAAGACAGGGTTTGTCAACAGCTGTCTACTAATACTGTGGTCGAAAACTTGTGCATTGTTGGGGCTGACCTGTGTGTTACAGATGTTTAACACCTGGCTTTCCAGCCTATCCCACAGCTGTTCTCCTACTCACCAGTGCTGCCTGGATTTAAAAAAAAGCCCCATAGATTATCACATCACCCCCAAGTCAAGAACCACTACTCAGATCTACAAAAATCAATGTCAAGCTTTATTTAAATAAAAATAAATAAAATAAAAATTGCATCCTAAGCCATATTCCCTTAAATATAACCTTTAAATGGATGCCTTAATAAAGACTCCCAACAAGAAAATACTTTTCTTTCGATTCTAATTCTATTTCATCATTATTAGAACTCTCATTTTCATTGTCAAAGATCAACCCATTATGTTTCTATTAATAAGTTACAATAAAAGAGAACATAAGAGGTCTTTCAGGGTTTGAAAATATTCTATTATGGTGTGTATCATATATTTTTCATAAAGGATCGTTTCAATCCAATTATCCAAAACTCAGTATAAAAATACACCACAGCTGCAGAGACAAAAACAATTTAAAATAATGAGCCCAGAGGCGATTCTGACTTCTCTGAATCCGCAGACTTCATTAGGATGGCACGCATTTACTTTCTTTTAAAGAGAACTGTAATGAACATAGTGTTTACTAGGTAATGTGCTGTTCTTTATCTCATTTCTACTCAGTTCAGAAGCTGCTACACTGAAAATAAAGTAATTTAAAGAAAGATACATACCAGTCTTAAATGTCTGGCAAAGCTACAGTACTCTCAACAATCACCAATTTACTTTAGAGAATGCCTTACTTCCCTTAATTCTATGAAATGTACTAAACTGTAATGTTCTAGAAGACACTTGGGGACCTATAACAATTCATTTTCTAAAGTAAATACAGAATTTCTTTGACTTTGTATCTTAATAGGCAGAAAAGAGAAGCAATAGCAAGGATCTCCAAGTTGGTTTTCCAAAGAGTTTGAAATTAAATAATCAAATTTACTTCCATTCAGGTTTTGTCAAAAATGTTAGTGCTTTATCTGTGAATGTAAACTATCATGCATCGTGTTTAGCTCACCATTGTTAGAATAAGAAATCAGAGCACAAATCCAAAGTAACTAGCTCTACCCCCATTTATAATAATGCTCTTCCGCACATAAAATTTAACTGACTCATTAATTCCGTAACTGTTAATGGAGAGTCCACTCACCATTGGGTTCTTAAAACATTCATATTTGGCATAATTTTTTCTAAGGTACAGCTTATTTTCTTCTTCCATCCCCCAGTGAGACAGCACTTCAATCACCAGCTCATGGTCTTCTATTATTCTTTCTGCGAGAATGTTTCAATGAGTATGTTGACAGATACATAAATAGTTCAATAGGCAAACGTGAAAATACGCATAAATACATCAGCATAGAAACATATGGAGTAAATTATGTAGTGTTCACAATGTATTATTAAACAGAAGTTTCATCTCAATTCTTAAATATCTACACTGGCAAGATTTCTTTTCAATTCTGAATTATTATATCGACTTTTATGCCAGCACCATCATCTAAAGAGAAAATTACATAAAATATCACAAATGCCATTTTTGCTAATTCTCAGTCTCCTTTTGTTGCTATGTAAATTACTGTATAAGTTTGATAACAAACCTGTATTAAGATGTGGGAGCTATTCTTTCCTTAACTCATCATGGTGCCAAAATTAAAATATTTGCTCCAGGTTTGAACAATTCACCTCATTAAGAGATGAAGAATTTTGACAGGTTCACTATGCATTTTAAGATACATAATCTAGGTAGCTGAAAAAATTAAAACACATGCTCAAAAGGGGGAATTTCCTCTCAAGTCGATACAGTTTTTTATGAAACTCAATTCCTCGTGGCACTTTAGACTTTGAAAACTAATTCAAGGAAAATAGACCCTGTATTAACAATGGAGATAAGTAAGTAATGTAGGAAGGTGCTCAGCAGAAATGAACCAAGCAGTGGGAACTTTTGAGAAGTCAAACGTAACCAACATAATATCTATTGTAATGCAGACTGCGATGGTGTTTGTGACTGTATCATTCATAACAGCCCCAAACTGGAGACTACCCATCCACCCCTTGACAGGAAAATGACTTTTGCAAAAGCATACACAAAAAGGATATTCTACAATAATCCCAAACAGAAATCTCAGAAGTGAAAGATGTATATTGCATGAGTCCTCTCACATAAGGTTCAGAGTGAGAAAAATTCATCTATGCGGCTAGGAATAATAAGAGATAGAAGGTGAGTGGGGAGCGCATGAAGCAACTGGTCACAATTCTGTTTAGTCCTGTAGATGTTACTCAGGAGCATGCAGTGTCTGAAAAGTCACAAAGCTGCCCCATGGTATGGGCTCACCTTCTTCAGTACAGCTCATTCTTCAACAAAAAGTCAGGATAATTTAATTATGAAATTGCCAATAAGGAAGAGAGAGTCTAGAATAGCTAAAAAGGGAATAGGAACTCCTCTTTTTATGTTCCTAGGAACTTTTTGAAAAGAATCAGCATCTCAGAAGTTCAACACTCAGGCGTGATCTGGGCCATACTACAGGGACCCTTCCACAGAAGCCTGTTCTCTGAAAGGAGTTCATCTCGATGAACATGGGTGAGTTGCAGTAAGTGCTCACAAGCAAGCAGAATTTTGGCCTTGGTTGGATCAAGTACCATTGTTTCTGCTCACTGGCTATGTTTCCCTTCACTGCTTCCCTTTCTGAAAACTCAGTTTTTAGCTTCACTCTTTCCTTTCTTCTCTAAATGAAGTCACTCTTTTTGACACACCCATCGAGTTCCCTGAAGTGAAATCTCTGCCTAAAATTGCTCTCCACGGGACTGAGCTTCTCCACCTCCTCAAATATACTTTGTTGAAAGTCAAGGTCACACCTTAATTTTTTTCAGGGTTCCAGATCTTTTTTTTATTAATTAAGAAAATTTTTATTCATTTTACATACCAATCACAGATGCCCCTCTTCCCTCCTCCCACCCCTGCAACCTTCCCCCACCCACCTTCCCCCCATCCCCTCCTACAAGAGGTAAGGCCTCCCACGGGGAGTCAGCAGAGCCTGGTACATTGAGTAGAGGCAGGTCCAAGCCCCTCCCCCTGCCTCAAGGCTGTGCCAGGTGTCCCACCATAGGTAGCAGGCTCCAAAAAGCCTGCTCATGCACCAGGGATGAATCCTGATCCTACTGCCAGGTAGCCCCTTAAGCAGATCATGCTACACAACTGTCTTGCTCATGCAGAGGGCCTAGTCCAGTCCCATGGAGGCTCTACAGCACACCCTAATTTTTTTAAAACAGTAAACACAGAATGATCATTCAATGCCACTCCCAATTTCACATCTGGCTCTAAGTCCCCAAGAAATGACAGCTAAGACTCCCAACTTCACATCTGACTCTGAGTCCCAAAGAAATGAAGCTAAGATTCCAAAAGATATTTGTGCCTAAAGGCAAAAACACCACCATATCCTTGGGGGTGAGGGGGGCAGGGAGAGATACACAAGATAGAAACTCAGCCTTAAAAGAAATGAAGGTATGATGTACACTAGATGTGATAAAACCCTAAAGACCCTGTACTATGTAAAATCAGACAGACACAAAAGGCAAACGCTATGTGACCCCATAAAGGTACCTAGAGCAATCCAATGCACAGTAACAGAGAACTGAATGGTAGTTTCCAGGGCTGGCAGTGAGGAGAAAATAAAAAGCATTATTGCTTACCTAGTAAATAATTTCCATGTGGGAAGAGAGGGTATTCTATAGACAAGTGTTGGTTCTACGGGGCTTATGTGATATATAAGCCCACTGAACTGCATAGTCACATTGGATAAGATAGTAAATTTTATTTATACTATTCTACCATAATTTAATAGTATGCCTCATTACCCTTACAGTTATCTTCCTTTCAAACCTGGAAGTACTTGTTCTTCTTGAAATCTTATTTTTGTGACTGTTAATATCATTTTGGCCATATTCTGTCAGAGAAACGTAAACTTAAAAGTCCCTTCTGCATGTTTTTCTACCTCTCACTCTGTATCCTTTACTCCTGATATTCCCAGTTGTGCTCTCTCCACATCCCCGCTCAGAAACAACAACCCCCCAAGCCTATTCCCGATGTCACCATGCCAATGGACCCCCATCTTTTCTCACAGAAACTCTTTACTAATCCCTAAACCTCCAGCTACTCTTTGTACTCTACCTCCAGCCTGAACGCTGATATCCTAACAGTCACCCTAAACCATCTGTGCCCATGGAAATCCTGCCCAGAATGCATAGTAATTTCTACTTCTCATGAAACAAAACCATAAGACCTGACAATGACACCTTATCCATCCATCTATCCATTCAAATTGTCACCAAAGGCCTGCATGGGTCGGGTGCTCCCCTTAGACCTGGGAGTTTTGAAATGGACAAAACCAGGAATAAATGGCTGCCCTTGTGGAGTCCCTAATAGAAAAATACAGACAATAAATAAAATGTGAGCCCTTTAAAGATGGCAATAAACTCGACAGGAAAACACAGAGCAGGGAAGAGAGACTGTGCTGAGAGCAAGGGAAAGGGTTCATTTCCAGGGGCTTTACAGAGAAGTGCCTGTGGAGAGGACGATCTTCCAGCAAAGATGCTGAGAGAAGGGCAGAGCCAAGCACTCATGGCAGAGGAGGCTGGGATGTCGGATGCACAGCATGGCGGTTAGCCTAAGTAATGCTGAGTGAGTGACAACAGAACAGCACCAGGAGAAGGGTGTCTAGAGGCAGTAGAGAGGGGGGTTCGAAGCCCCACCCTCCATGATAAGGACTTACAGGAGACAGGACAATGGACAGAGGAACAAAATGAAAGATCCGGTTTTAACTGTTTTAACTGCATCGCGCTTGCTGTTGAGGGTAAAACTGATTTTCCACAGCCACAAGGACTGAAAACACAGAGTCCAGTTAGGAAGTTGATAGGCATTAGCCAGGGCAGAGGTGGTAGAGAGTAGATTAACATGGTAACTGTGGGTTTTGTAAAAGGTGGCCAGGATCTGGGTGCACCCTGGGGGGTCTAAGCAGAGGGATCGGAGGGAATATTCCAAATGTGTGAGAAAGAAGGACACGTCGTGGAAGACACTGAGGTCCTCTGGCTAAGCTTGGAAGGATGGTATTAGTAAGGAGGAACTGGGAAGACTGAGACCAAGCTAGTGAGGCCCAGAGATCAGTGAACCACAGTGCAGAGCTGCATTTCAGTGGTCTCTGGATAGTACTGACTTCTGTAATCTCCCCCACAAATCTAACTTGTGCTTCCAAGCTAGGATAAATAAACGTGCTGTGGATGGAGTGTGTACTGATATTCTTTGTGACTGCCAAGAGAAGAAATTCAGAGGGACAGTAATGATACCTGTTCACTGGTTTCAGTAACCTGAGTTTCTTTGTACAATTGCCTATCTCTACCAAGAAGGAAGGAGTTCGTGCTCCACCCTGAATGTATACCAACACAGAGAGGGAAGAGCAACAGACACACATTTTCTTGATGGTTAAACTTCAAGGTACATTTCATCAGTCTTTGGCAGATATCACTGCTTGGGAAGAATCATGGTCCTCTGCTGCCTCATACGGGGATCCATCCTCTCTTGAAGAGGGAGTTACAGGTAAGGGGATCATGAAGGGGAGAGAGAGTCAAGTCAGACCCTGGATGGAGTAGGAACCAATGACTCTATATTTCCTCCTTCAGGAACAGGAATACTTTCAAGGTGTCAGGGTCCCAATAAGTTGAAACGTGCTGAGTGGGTCAAACCATAGACAATGTTTTTTTTAATCCTCCAGAACCCCTGTATCAAACAGAAGTAAGAGCTGAGGGCAATGCCAAGCTCACAGCATCCCAGAATAGAGAAAGAGTGCTAAGTCCCCAGAAGGAAAACGGGAGAGCTAAAAAAATAAAAAATAAATAAATAAAAATAAAGGCCCTAAGCTTAAAAGGCCTTATGCTTTTCAGAAAGGAAGGGTGAGACAAGCAGGAGCTTCCAGAAAATGAAGAAAACAGTGACACAAAAATATGACAAATACCTTGGTTAAAAATGATGTGTCCCACCAGGATGCTGCAAAGGTAAAAGGGGTCTCAATTGTCGAATATAAACATTTCAAACCAAAGGCAACTCACTGGCAGAACTTGAATTATTGACCCCAACAGACAATCTTGGACTGCAAACAAATGCTATGAGGTTAAATTCTCTGCTGTTCTGAGGGCTGGAGAAGCAGAGTCTAAAATTCATTCCTGTTACAAAAAGAGATTGCAACTCTGCATGGCTCAATCTATGAGCATATCACTGTTACATT